CGTTCATCAAAGAAAACAGCTTTGCAACTATTGTAAAATTCTTTAATATGATTGGTATTTTTATTTTTAATTCCTTATTAGATTTAAATGTATAGACCAATTATATTAAAGAATTTTACAACAGTATACAATTACACTGCTTTTTTTGCTGAACGCGCTTTTGCCGAAGCTGCAAAAGTAACGCTGTATGATAATATATGATGAGTACAATGCGCAGTTGCAAATGCTGTATCCGTCTATACATATCGCGAGTTCGATTTGAAGGTGATCGGGGGTTACGACTTATAACAAGGAAGGTCGCGACGCGAGTATGCGACGCGAATAAGTTCGATGCGACGCAGCTCAACGTGGTGGCAGTGCGACAGTGAGATTCCCGGTTCCCATAGTTTTCGCGAGCTTCAAGTCGTTTTCGCGAGGCGGATCGAGGTGCCTCGCGTAAGATTACTAGCAAAGCATGAGAATCGGGCGATCGTATCCTATCAGCACCGTCGAACTCCGTCGTCGTATCCGGCATATCTCCGGTGAAAAAAGAGCGAACGAATCGCACGGTGACAGGGTCGATACGTTGACTTCAAGGCCGTGCGGCTCACCCACGCAGGTTCGTGGGACAGCAGTCTTTACGTAAGTCAGTTTTGCTACAAAATGATACGTATGTGCTTTGTGTTGTTTGATGATAGACGCGAAATCGTGGATAAGACGATTAACGAAGTAACTCGCGAAACGGGTGGAGCTTCGTCGATCGAATCTCTGTATAGGTTATGTTTCTTTGACAATTGATGACGCTCAAGCAACTACTAAATATGTAACGCGGAAAGGATCCATATGTGTTAAAACAGACTGTGAATTTTTTATGATTGGGTTTGTATTGTTATGATAGCTAAAATATTTTAGATATTTTTGTAATTAATTTTGAACATGTGTTTTAAATGATATTTGGAGGAATTAAAGAAGGATTGCCGTCTGTTTGCATGTGTGACATTAATCTGTCACGGAACTGATGTTTACGTGACGTGGAGTAAATGTAGTAGAGTTTATGCGATTTCAGCATGAATGTGACAAATATTGATGTTCCATTTATGCGCAGACTTATGCATGCGCCTAAGTGTTTTCAAGAAAGAAAGAAGCAAAAAGAGAGTATATTTATGTTATATCATTTTTTGCTTAATTAACATATTCATCGATATGTTCGAAATAAAACTGCTGTTTAGCGAAAATTTCGTGTAAGAAAATTTATTCATTCACTTTTAGGACTTTAAAATTTTAATTTTAACTGTCGGCAAAAACAAATTTTTAATTGATGTCTTTGCTATTCTACATTTTTTTTTCAACAGAAAAATATTATTTTATAATAGAACCTTATTGTTTGGTATACATATAATTAATTATAATTGAAAAATTTTGACCGGTTTTTATTTAAAATTTATTGTAGTGAAATTGATTTCTGAATTATTTCTAAATAATAAAAACGAAATATAATGACGTTTGTATAAATTTAAATACGATAACTTTTTTAATAACTACATCCAATGATATAAACATTTCAGTTTTTTTAAAAAGGTTATGAGGCATTTATTCTCATTTATATACTGATTGTGACTTTTAATTTTTTTTATCAACATAACATTAAAATATTATCTTTAAAATATTGTTTTGTATTTATTAATACCTATTAATACGCTTAGCATGATTAAAATTCCTCGGCGATTACATTCTCATTATAAATTTATATAATTTTATATAGGAAGCATAAATTTAATAATCTGAAGAGAAAAGAGTTATTTTTCCTTTTTATCAACACGCGTATATAATTTTGTGAATCAAATAAATCGGAGCGAGTACACGCGAAAGCGTGTTTCTATTTTCGTTGTGTGTATAACGCGCAATATAAAAAAAAATTACATAAATCAGAAATTTGTAAATTTGTTCCGAGTAATATATAGTATCTGTATACAGAAACTAACATAAAAACTCATCAGATTAAGTAACGACATGATTTAATTAATTATGTAAGAATTATTTCCACTTATAATTAATCATCTCGATGATATATAATATTAATAAAACACAGTGTTGCCCCATGGAAAAATAGTCTGATGTTAGTAATTTTTTTTTGCCATTCTTTTTTAATTTAAGATAAGAAGTTTTCAATTAGTATCAGATTTGATTAATTTAAAGCAAGAATTAATGAACAAGGAACGTTTACAAAATTGTTTCCCTTTATTTTTTTTTGAGATATTTTTATTTTTCTTTAAAAGATTATATTATTAAAGAATAATTATTACGAAATTTTTTTTGTATAAAATGACATTTAAATATTAGAGCAGTTAATAGCGATTGTTGTCGATGTTAATGGTGCATTAACTTGGCTCGTAAAAACTAATTGAGTAGAAAGGTATTGATAAAGACATAAAGAAAGAATAAAAAATGATTACATTAAACACTCTGCAAAGTTTGTGTATGTGTGTGTGTGTGTGTGTGTGTGTGTGTGTGTGTGTGTGTATATATATATATATATATATATATATATATATATATATATATATATATATAAATCAATAAATATAATGGCCATTAGAGCAATTGACTGACTGCAATATTAATGCATTCGCAGATTTTTGCAGATTAAAATATAATATTTTATGAATATTGAAGCCGACATAACTTCAATTGACGCTGATTTCTATATTTATTCGTGATTAATAGTAGATTACGATTTATTGATACATATTGAATCAATCATTGGAAATGATTAAATCTTTATAAATTTGGATTTCGATGCTGTAAACACAAAAGTTAGTTCTCCTCGTCAGTTAATATAATAATATATATACATTTATAATAATATATATACATTTGTTTAGTTTGTAATATATATCATATATAATTTAGTAGAAAATATTCCGATTTCAGATTTCAATCTCAGCTGTGATGTGATAATTTTTATTTGTACACGCAACCTAGAAAATATACTTTTTCCTGATACTCTCAACTCTTTTTTATCAGTGATTAATCGCTTTTTTACCCATTTAATTATTACAGCGTTATGACGTAAAGCTTGAACTTCGATATTTAAACTTTAAACGATATAGTTGTGTGCGCAGAAATAACAATATTATTCTAGAGATACTGTGATATTTTTTAAATAAAAACTGCTTTGAAATTAATAATATCAATTAATTTTTTAAAGAGTGACATACTTAATTCCACAACGAACTAAAATTTTAATGAGATCGTTGTTATTAACTTAAAGAAAATTTGACAATGGTTCTATTTTTTAACTAAGATTTTTTTTATTTTTACAGTTGACTCAAAAACAACATTTGATGATATATCAAAATATCAACTTTTATTAATATAATAACAGTCAAAATAATGAAGATACAAGAAATTATTTGGAATTAACAGCCTATTTAATAGCATACTTTATACCGAAGAAACGGTTTTGTTGAAGTGTCTAAAAATTTAGCTATCACACTAAATTTTTAAATATTTCAACAAAACCATTTTTTGTACAAATCTGAAAATAATTATATTTGAATCATTAAAATAATTATGTAGAACGTTCAAATTAGTTGCTTATCAAAAGTTTTTTTTGCAGAATTGCTCATGCTTGAGTTTCCTGTATAATTATTTTAATAATCCAACAAAATTATTTTTAGATCTGTATCTGTCTGAATTTTTAAATATTTCAGCAAAATTTTCCCGTGTACAGAAATCCAGTTAATTTAATCCTGATAAATTTAATACTAAAAGATAGTGATGAATCATTTATTTTGAGTACTGAAAGCACTCGAACGATAATACTTTTAATATTTACACTGAGAAAAATGTCTGGTTGGAATTCTGAAAATGGAACAAATTTTCTGGTTAAATCTATCTATTATTATTCTAGTTGAGATAACCAGAATTCTTATTCGTATCAGAATCTTCGTTCATTTTCAACATTTTTCTCAGTGTGAAAGAAGTAATTAATCATTACCTTCTATCAAATTTTTACAAGGAACACGTATTACTTTTAAAATTTGTCAATAATATTTACATCCTCTATTAGAACCCACCTCGTGCCTGATTACATGCTTATCGCAAAATAATTAGTGACTCGCGACACTAAACAGTCCTTGTCAGTCTGCGTGTTGCATTCGATCTATCGTGCGTTTTTACGACGACGCATATTAGTGATATATATGGGAAAGATAAAGATAAATACATAGAGAAAGAGAGAGAGAGAGAGAGAGAGAGAGAGAGAGACATTCCAGTTTTCTCATAATCAGTGTACCGTTGCTTTCCACGCTCAGCTGACACGGCCGTGGCTTTTCGACCGATACTCCGAACGAACAGCCTTTCGAGAACAGCCTGCCAGTCGACATTCGTGAGCGTAGCGCGTACACTGTGGAGTTTGTCGCGCTCTTTTCCACTCTTTCCGTTCTAGCGGTTCTTTTCCTGCATTTCGTGAATGTTAACGGGAATACATCGTTCTTCCCATTGGAACGTGTGAACGATTCACGATTTCTCGGCTCTCCCATTTATCGAAGTAACGTTATTGTACGATGGTATAATTCTCGACATAAATTCCGATTTCTATAAATAACAAGAGGATAATATCTAATATTTACTTGTGATAACAAACGCAATGAGCGCCGCGTAGAATACGGTTCCGCGTATTTACACTATGAAGAAAAGTTGTTAACGTGATTAAATGTGTTTTAATTATATTAATTTATAGTGACTATTTAATTCATGTATCTAAGTTAAATATACGTGAGCATATTTAAGAATTCATGTCAACAAAATAATTTATTCTTATAATTTAAAACGTGTTATTTGTTTGAACTGACAGATATTTACTTGACAATCATAGTGACCATAACCATCATAGTTAGTTGAATCAATTAATATTTTTTTAAATCAACAACTTTTTTCTCAGTGTATCTATAGCAGAAAATAAAATAATCGCGTTGAGACTACATCGAAAATCTCGTTAGTTTTTTATTCTCAATATTCGGTATAGAAAGAACTTACTCATAAAGAAATGCTCACAAAGCATTTTACATTCCGAGTACGTAATTGCTAATTCTGCGACCTATTTTTTGTGATTGTTTATCTTTATGAACATGGAAACTCGTCGACGTGTTGATACCGGCACTCGTAAGTTCTTTAAGAATAAATAAAATAATATTTGCGAGCTATAGAATAAATCTAATACATATAAAACTATTGCTTGTGAACACATCATCCTTTTATTTCAGAAGTAACCCAACTCAAAAAATGAACCAATTCGAAAAATTAAGTTTTTCAGAAAAGGGGAAGAATTATTTATTATTTTTAACTTAACAGTAAATAATTGACTAATTAAATATTGGATTGCAAAAAAAATACTTTCAGAAATGTGAACAATGGCAATTTTATTATTTTTGTTTTACAATCTTTAAAAAACACTTTTTTAAGTTGTGACGATTTTGATATAATATAAAGAATTATAACAAATTTAGAATATTGACATCAAAGTGTCATAACTCGAAATATCCAATATCTTCATTAGATAAAATGATTAAATTAGAGATAAAAAATATATTTCTTCTTCAAATTTTGATCACCAAAATTATCTTACTCTTTATGTTCTTTGTAGAAAATTCTTCTTTATTTAAAAAAATGACACAATTCAAAATGTGTTATTCTTGTAGAAAGTATCATGATTTAAAAAAAAAATTTTAAGAACGACATACTTATAGTTGCACTTAAGTGCAGCTATTTAACGGCAACTATTTCTGTGAAGTCAAGTTGATTTACTTTTAATAGAGTAATCTGTGTCTAATTCATTCATAATAATAATTCGAAAATCATTTTTTGAATTGCATTTTGAAAAAAATGATATAATTTATGCACTAATAATTATGAAAGCTCATATAGATATTTTATTGATATTTTACTTAAAAATTGATATAAAAATGACGATTTTTAATCTGAATCGCAGCGATTATTAGTTTCGAAATTTTTTATTTATTCTTTTTTTTTGGAAGCAGTGTTATGATTTTACAGCTCACTATTATGTTAATCTTGCTAGCTCGTTATAAAAACAAGCTTAATTTATTTAATATATACATATTATTTGTATAATTATTTCTATTTTAGTGACGTTTAAATTACACTTGTTAAAGAATTATATACATATTTTCCGTTAAAGGAAAAGATTATCTATAGTCATGAATACTTACTATCTTGCTTATCTTTTAAGTTTACCTTGAATTTATACTTATACAATAAAAAGTACTTGTGCATATGGTTATTAAAAAACTTATAAGGTTTAATGCCTTAGAAGATATTATGCTTTATAAGTTTTTTTTAATTTTTTAAGATATTTACATGACAAGTATAATAACGTCCAGTTTGATGAAGGTAACTGCACGATAATTGAGAAGATTATTCACAGCTATAAAGCACAGTGATTTGCAAAAGAATTAGTAATTGAAATTGTTACTAGTTTCTCCTCTTACTAGATCTCGGCGTTAACTAATTTTCTCTTGGTATTGATCTCGAAAAAAATCAAAATCAGTCTGTAACTAGATTCTCGGAAGTGCACGTATATGAAACACATTTTTCAGTCACAACAGTTTGTATAATTACTCGTAAATCGCACAATAACAGGATACCGCAAATAATAGGCTGCTAACGTAACAATGAATATACTCGCGATTTTGTTTTCGTCTGACAAGACAATTTCCGAAAGCATTTCTGAGTCAAATGATAAAGTATGTGTCGAATAAATCTCGCGCGAAGAAAGACAACGTACAACTGATGACGTTAATTAGAATCCTAAGACAGTATTGCTTGCAATATATTGACTGTAATAAATATCTCAGGCTGCATTTTTAACAAATGCAATGGCAATTTCCATTTCGCGTTGCACTTCTCTTGTATATAACCTCGCTATAGGTTATCATTTATTTTTCCGGTTTCAATTTTTGAAATTGCATTGCCGTTATATTTCTTGTACATGATTATTTCGAGAAAGTAATGAAAATAGAAAATGCTTGATTGAATTAATTAATCTCTCTTCATTTAATTCAATGATGTGCATAGAAAAAAGAAAAGAATTGTTTATTTACATCGTTGATTTATAGTGATTAGATAAATATCTATGGTTTTTTATAAAGATATATGAATTTAAGAACAATTTCTAGAAAATATGTACTTTTCAATCATCTTATTCATGTTGTCTTATTTTCAATGAAAGAAAGAACATAGCTTGTGGTCCATTTTTTAGCCATTCGACTTATCGCAAGTGTGAACTTAAGAATCATTAATGATAACATGTGTGAATCATCATCTTTACAAGAGATCAACAATATTTAATAGTATTCGACCTCTTTCATTGAAGATCCCGTCATCTCGCGCGGAAAGAACTCCACGACGCAGTTTATTGATTTAGGCTTCGACGGGTTTTCACAGAAAACATCAGCCACGTAGTATATCTATGAAATTTATTTATAATAGATCATAAATCATTTGGAATAGTAAATCATCTGGAAATCATTACGATGATGCACTGATCGAGATCGTTTCATCCGTCTGTTTTAAATCATAATATTTGATGTTTTTCTCATTAAAAATACATAAAATAATGATTCAGTGGAAAAATAATTTTATTTAAAGGAATTATTTACACACAGGGAATACATATATAGGCTGTTCCGAAATTCGCGAATCAAGATATCACAGCAAGAAAGTTTTTAAAAGATTAAAAAATGTTATACGTATATACATTTTTATTTCAAGTAGTAGTTTTTGAAATATAAGAGTTTAAATATAATTAATTATAGATTATATGTTTAGACCGCTGTCTGTCTATGAAATTATTACTTAAAATAAAAATTTACGAATAATATTTTTATTTTTTTACAAACTTTTTTGTTGTAGTACTTTGATTCGCAAATTTCAGGACACCCTATATATACTCTGTCATAAATAGTTATTTCTGTTTTTCATTGCTAAAGAAGATAGACCGACGAATTTAATATTTCATAATAATACTATAATATTATTTATAATACTTGATAATTAATATTTTAAACTTTAATACTATCGACGAAGAATAAAATCATATTGTATTTATCTCAACAAAATATTTAACACCTATTATATAGCTTAATTTCATTTTCTCGTTAATTAAATTTTAACTATATAATTATTTATTGATTGACCAGATAGGACAAGAGGAATATTTTCGGTATTTTATTGTGTATACAAATCTATTCTATCGATTTTGCAAATGTTGTTTTATTAAAAAATACATTTTAATAAATTTGCAAGAATTTTCTTTATCTTTCTATGTCTTTGTTTTTTCTGATGTCACAATCCAAGCTACAATGAGTAGGCAGGAATCTTAAATTTGAGTTTTAGCCTATCATAGTTTTTCTTAATTTGAAACGTAATGGAAAGCCATTGTGGCCATTTTTTTTTTATTTTAAAGACAAAATCAAGAAAGATATTCTGTAAACAAGAATGTGTTTTATTTGCAAGAAGTGCATCTGGGTCTTTCGTTTGTTATGAGGTGTTAAATAGATCAGACCGACCGTGCTAAGTGTAACTAGGCTGATGCCGCAGATGCCCTGACCCTGACTATCACGGCACTAACACGTCGTATTCACAGCGCAGAGTAGGCGACCGTATCCTGGACGGTTGCCATCGAGAGATCTAAATAGAACTACCTACCGCACTTCTACGGCGGTGGGACGACCACTTTGCTGCCGTTTTATAGATTCCATTTCGTCGACTATTTGCACGAAAAATGTGAATGTCTTAACCGATGGATGAATAACTCCTAAAATCGTATCGCGCATGTAACGTGGGCGCGTTAGCTCCAGAATGTCTACACTGTTGAACATTTGAACTATTTCTTCTGATACATTAAAGTGGAATGCTGTATGTCTGCCAAATGTTCTCTTTAGAACTTTTAGAATGAATCTCGCTCTAAAGAGAAATCTTACTCTTAAAGATAGAAAATTGAGTCATTCTTTTTCAAGATTGACTGAATTTTCACTCTTTAGAATGAGATTTCACTTCGAAGAATTTATAATACATTACGTTACATTATATACGAAATTATTAAGCTAAAATAATAACTTATACATGAAATATTTTTTTTTTTAATTTGCTGACATATACTACAAATAAAAATATGAGATTTCCGCATAATATATCATCACAACAGAATTTTTTTAATTATCTATTCGAGTTCTATTTTGAAATTTTCAAGATTATTTCATAATTGAAGTGGGAATGATGATAGTTTTACAAAATTTTTTAATTGATGAGTTGATGATGAAAAATGTTAATAAAAATTATAAACAAATAAAACATTTATTTATATGAAAATGATAAATTAAAAATAATGTATCCGTAGAACAATTTAAAATCTTTAAAATCGGTCTCTTGCATTTTTTTTGCACGACTAATGGTTTCGACATTATAATAATTTGAATGTTCGCATGAGCGACGATTTTTTATAAATTTTTACAAGTTACAAGCGTGAATAATTTCACAAAAAAAATTTTGTTCACGAAACACGTGTCTCGTATTTTTAGTAGAACATGATCAAAGCAAATTTAAAAAAAAAATAAAACTGATGTTTCCAAGATGCCTGGTTTAATATAGAATGCCTCAATAACTATTCTAATATTATAATAATCTAAAAAATTATGAAATAAAGTTAAAGAAGTATCAGTCAAACTTTTCTCGCCTTTACTATATTTGTATGCTATTCCAATTTTTCCAATATAATTTTATTCTTTTATTCATAATTTCATCAATTTTTCAAACGTATTTAATATATTGATGCGAAATAATCAAATAAAAAAAATATCTTCTCGGAAAAAACTATCTTAGGAATTTTAAGAATTGACAAGATTCATTTATATACTTCTAGCTCTTTTATAATACTGAAATATCCATCAACTCGGCAAAATAAAATTCTCTTGAAAATGATTGTTGGAACAGTCAAACTACGCATATCGTTCTAGGAAATATATATTATAGGATATACATTATAGGATAGGAAGCGAATGTTGACATGCATTAGTATGAGGAGTCACGAAACACATCCATTTTAAAAAATGGAGCAATAATAACGTTTTTTTTCCTTGTTTGTGTTAGAACTGATAAATAAAAGTAGCGGACACACGTACATGACATAAATGCGCATGTATGCTTACACGTGCGCGTCAAAAAAAAACTCGCGTAATTTACGAAAAAAATATATCGCGTCTATATAATTTATATGACAGCGTCGCACATGTGCCTATTTATTGTTAGAAATAGTTTCATAATTTCTATGAAGAAATATATATGTTGCCAATGAAGTTTAACATTTTAAAATGCGCAAATTTCAAATTATGCAAATGCTTAAAAATTTATCGCAAATTAACCAATTAATGCTAATTTATTTAATCAAATTGATTTATACATGTATAATGTGTGTTTAACTTGTATCAAATATAACATTAATGCGTGACGTATATATTTTCGGTATATAATTCTTAGAGTATATCTATAACAATTGAAATGAAGCTTTTTTAATGAAGAATGCTTCATATTTTATTCAAATTTAACCTTTTCATTATATTTTTAAATATTCAATATTTATATAAAAACCGATTATTTATACACGGAGAAAATTTTATATTAAGTTTTAATACAATTTAATACAATTTATTTAATACAATTTTAAATTACACTTTACTATGTCTTATATTTTTGATGGACCATCACAACATGATTCCGACATAATTTATTATGGTAATACTAATTTTTATCATATAAATAAAGTAATTATTTTAGTAAACCAATGCTTAATATTCTAATATAAAAATAGTTAATTTTTACTATGATACGCAAACAAAAATTTGCTAGATATATATTTTTTTACTTATCTTTACAATACTATCTTTTATTCAACAAGTTTTGAATTTGTAATAAAAATTTGAACTATGAAAAAGTATAAAAATTACATTATTGTTTTTAAAAATAGCTACAGCATTTAAACTTAATAATTTATAGCTGATAGCAGCTATTACAATATTACAATAATTTTAAATATAAAATTTTTTCCGAGTATAAAAACGTTAATTGTGAAACGTGTAAGTTAGAAAGACTTTAATTAATATACATTTTGCGATAAAAAAGATAGTATTATAAAA